CCCTCCCTTCCTCCCTTCCTTCCATTTCCCTCCTTCTCTTTCCTTTTTTCTTTCTTTCTCTCTAATTTCTGGTTTCTTTACTATCATGTTAGCAACCCATGGGCAGCAAACGCAAACGTAGTTGGCTGCAGCGGGAATTGGAAGCAGAAGAGTAGCTGACCATGAAGTTTAACTTGGGAGCAGAAATAAATTAATCATCACTTGGTTTGATAGTTAGTTTGTTAGACGGGTAACATGATAAAAAGACTGTAAACTGAATGGAAATACACTGGTGGGTGTAAAAAAACACACACACATAAAACTCTGATCGTGAGTCCAAGCTTTATCCGAGTTTTGGCCCAGGACACGTGAAACGTTCTCCTCCAATCGGAAAACGTTTTTAGGTGGGAGGTATTCTCGGATATTCCCCAGTTTTAGCTGGGGAATAATCGGTCACGTGACGCATTCAGACCAATTGCTTGCAATTGCGAGCGAAAATATTTGATGGATTATAAAACAATGATATTCAATACCCCTCCTACGATATGCAGACACCTTTTGGAATTTCGAAAAAGTTTAAAGGCAAATGAACATTGCTACTCCACTTGTAGTATTGGAGTGTTGCTACTCCAAATGGACTCTCCTGAAGCGCTATCTGGAGCGGATACAGATAGCTACCAATGTGCAAAATACCCACCAATCTGCTTTTACCGTTGGCTACTTTTACAGGCTGCATGACATTTAGCTGCCTTGCTGGAAACAGCTCCATTGAAAGCTACTGGTCAATTGTCAAAATCAAACATCAATAACACTAGGCTTGACATTACACCTCTTAAGGTGAAACAAATCCTTTTTTTGTGATACATCGTAACCGAACAGACCTGTTGAATTAACCTAATCACAATTGTTAAGAGTGCACTAAATGCTGCTACTTCCAGAGGCTTTTAACGCACACAAAAAATAACTCTGCACGCCCTACGTGCCTATGGTTTTCATTTAGGGGGTTTGACCGAACCCTCCAACCCTCCCCCCTAGATCCTCCCCAACTTTCAAGTGTATGCACAAACCAAACAGACAAAGCTGCTAGCGCTAGAAAACTAATCATGAAATTGAAGGGTTTTTTTAATCAAACATTTTTTTTTAATTTAGGCGCAGTGTTTTTGCTAGGGCTTTTGAGTTACAGGAAGGTCCTAACCGACTTGCGTGAACAATACGCTGAAATGCAAAGTAAATAAGCCAAAATACAAGATTTTTCCCTCTTAGGAAACAAAAAACCTCATTGCCGGAAAGCAACTCAATAAACCTCGGGAAATATGTGAAGATAAAGAGTTTTCAGACAAAAATTTACTACTCTTCCAAAAGACACACACAACTGTAGCGAACATCAAGGTAACAGTCAGTAAAAGAAGAATTAAGTTGCAAGGAACAAGAAAGTGCGCTAAAAGCTTAAACAGTCCCGAGTTGTCCGATACGGTCATGAAAATACACGCGCTTCTCTATCGCACCAGTTTAGTTATTTTCTTACGTAACCCAGCCACTAGAAATTATATTTACTTTGCTTGGGTTTCAGGAAATTTCCACAGTCAATACATTAGGGATCTCAAGCAAACCACGACGACAACGCCAACGCCAACGACAACCTCACCAAACAAAAGATTTAATGAGAAAACAATAGCTGTGCACGTGCGTTGTAAATTCTTGTGTATTTCTTAGCCGTCCACTGGAAAACAACAACGCAGATTGACTAAGTTCTGGGTATTTTGCAGAACGTGAACCTCGACGGCCATTTTTCGTATTTTTTGGAGTTGATCGCTGGCGTTACATATTTAGTTTGAGCACGTTTTTAGACCGATCAGCGGGCTGAACAGATCTACACGGCTGAGTTTTCCCCTCTAGAGTGCCGCATTAATGGAACTCGTCGCGTTACCAGCTGCTTCGGTAATGTAAACACGGAGATAGTTTTGCAGTCTTAGTGCACTGAGTAAGTAAGTCATCGAAGCAAGCCATTATCTTCATGGGGTATTTTTTTTTTCTAAGTTTGAATACGGGTAAGACAATCGAAACAGTTTGTTTCCTGTTCAGTAAGTTTATTAAAAAAATTTACGGAAAAAAAGAAGACAACAGCTTGAAGTGTCAATTCGTCAACTGCAAATTAGACAATTTACGATAATACTGTCCACTGTTTCCAGGTCACAATTTAATTTTAACAAATGTTTGCAGGATAGAATTGCCAGCGCGTTTTCTCCTGTCAACATTTCCTCACTAACTGAGTGCTTTGTTTAACTTTCGAGGGAAAACCAATTTACTCTCATGAAATGTTGAATATAACAACTACAGTCCGTGTTTGAACTCGCCAGCTGGCAGTGTCCACAGAAAACGTTTGCAAACGTACTTCTATCTTCGCTGTCAGTTTCTAAAATAAGGGTACACTTAGTTATTTTCAGAAGTGATTGTCGTGAAGGTTTTGGTTTCTCTTATTACTGAGCACGAGGCGGGAATTTCATGGCCAAAAAAATACACGAAGACTTCAACTGATTTTCGAGTTGCGACTTCACTGAGCCAGACAACTTTGATCGACCAAGTCTAAGCTGTTAATGCTATTTGCAGCCATTATGAGTTCAACACCAGAGAGTATTATAACATCGGTAGAACCCGAAAGCGAATGTGTTGGTCTGGAAAAACAATCGGCCTGTGGCGGGACCCAAGCCGAACCAAAGGCTGAACCCCACCCAGATTGGAATATAGCTGTGGAAACTTGGGGCATTGCCTGGGAATTTCACCAATTTGGACTCGGTTCTTTATTTGGAATCGTCGGCCTTTTCGCTCTTTCAGCATTCTTTAGATTGTTAAAAAACAACAGAGGGAGTCGACAGAAGAAATTCTCACTGGTTGTTCTAAGCCAGATTGTTTTATTTGGTTCATCAAGGTGTTTGTTCTTATGTGTGGATGCTTACCATTCCAAAGGCCATGTTCCTAGCACCGTGGTAAATATAATCTGGGGAATTGGACAGCCTTGTTTGATTACAGCCTTCATGCTCATTTTTCTAGTTTTGAGAAATGCTCTTGTGATGAAAAGCAGATTTCAGAACTGGTACACGACGCGAAACATAGCTCTCATTACAGTCCCTTATTACAACTTTGTTTTGGTGTCAGAAATGACTGTATCATTTTTACCATCAAACAAGAGCTTGACTTTTGCTTGCCAAATAACAGACACAGTTTTATATGTCATTTTAGCTGTCTTTTACACTTACATTTCTACTCTTATGTGGAAAAAACTTCGAGTTAAACCAAATGGAGCTTCTGAAATGCACGACAGAGGAAACCAAACATCATCCGTCTTCAAACTTTGTATAGCAGCAGCTGTTGGCGGTTTCAGCATCGGCGCCATGCAAATTTACGCGCTGGTAAGCGTTTACAGCGTTTCGCACGACGCGCAAAACATTTCCCCGTGGTCTTGGTTCGCGTCCACCACCTCTCTGCGCTGTTTGGAGATGGGAATGTCGGTGTTGTTGTACATGATCGGTACGATAAATAATCCTGGTCAAAGAGCTCGTGGAAGAATAAACGTGGCACCACTGTCAATAATGCAGTCGAAAGTTGAAACTCGAGTGACCAAAGACTCGGCAAATTCCGACACTTTCCAAATTTCACGTCTTCATGCCTTCAACGAGGACGGTATCATTCGTTAAGTGTTCTCTAGATGATGCTAAACAGTCACTGGAAATAATTCCACAGCGACCGAAGGTATGGCCCGGCAGCTCTGCGCGAACGATTCTCGCAAAAACTGCCGCTCAGGCGCGTCACTGAAAAGATCAGCTTTGCACGCCGTGTTTGCATAGAGAATAAACCAAATGTTTTCCACCTTGTTTACCAGCACGTAATCTGCCCTAATGCCACTACTCGTGTCAGCTACGTTTTCTTACAACAACAACAAAAAAAGTGTTACACATTTCAGGGGTATAGCCAGGATTTGTCAAGGGGGGGGGGGGGGGGAGCACACTGTGTCAAAGTGAAGGTACTCAGCAGATTGTCACGTCGTTTTCGCCACCTGCTGTAAGTTGTTTGCTTAAAAAAGGCTTACAAAACGGGGCTACGCCCCTGCATTTTAACGTCAAGATCCTTCAAACAGTTCCTTACAAAGGCAAAGAAAGTTTATTTGCGTTTGACCGCTGTGAACAAAATAATTAAGTTTTATAGCTTTATTTCAACACTTTTTTTTGGCTCAGAGCGTTTTGTATTTTGCACGGCAAATTTAACTCAAAATTGTTTTTTTTTTGTGTGATTCTTTTTCTTGTATTTAAGCATAGTTATAGTAGCTGCTAACTATGGTTTAAGCTGAAATGATGTTAGAAATAGAAGACTCGTACTTTCTGTTCTTTAAAACAAAAATAATTTTGAAATTAGTTTAAGTAAAAAAAGTCTACTCCTTGAACAACAGATTATATCCTTCCATTAGTCAAAAAAGCTCAAACTGATTCCAGTGATAGTTCAAAAAGGTAGGAAAACAGCAAAGAAGTAATAATAACCTAAGATTGGTTAAGTATGGGGAAAGATTGAGCTCCAGAAACAATTTTAGTATTTTACTTGGGTGGTCTTGTATGGGGTCCCCGAGAATTGAATGAGCCTGCGATCACCGAAGTTGTTCGGGAGCACTGGCGCTAGTTTTTGATTGGATAAGGAGAATCGGAGCTCTGTGCCGACCTAAGACAGCACTTGTTTGTTATTTCCCCGACTGAGCAATTAATATTAGTCCTAGATTTAGCCTAAACTTCACCCGTCTTTAGATTTCAGAGTATCTTAGGTTTATGTAATCTTTAGCTTTTACGCTACACCGTAAACTGCCGCGAATGAGCCCTGGGCTTACACAAGGGGCTTATATCCGACGGAGCTTAAAGCCGGAATAAAAAAACGTTTGGAAAAGAGCTATAGCTGCACATGTTGATCGAAATAGGTTTTTCATTTACCGGTTCTTTAATTAAGCTCTAAACATCATAATGAAACGAATTCAAGACAAGGAAAGTTAGAGAGGGGGGCTCTTATTCGGATGTATTTTTGGGCCTATAACCGAAGGGGCTTATAAGCGGAGGGGCTTATAACCGAAGGGGCTTATAAGCGGAGGGGCTATCAGCGGCAGTTTACGGTATTGCAACTGTACTCCTAAACGATCGATAGAAGTCGGAAGGAATACGTGGCCGGAAGAAAAAATAAATTGTTTTGCTGCGAAGTTTTGGACATGCAGGTCATGAAAGAAGAAAGGGAAACTCTGGGACCAAGGGTATTTCGAAAAATGCTAGTTTTATTGACTTTATTCGAAATTATTTTCCAAACTTGGCTCAGAATTGCCCGGATTTCGAGTTTTTCAGACCGTGAGAAGTTTGCTTAAAACGTCGAACGAATGCAGAAAGATCACAAAAGCTTAATAACCGGTCAAGATAACGTGCCAAAAGGGAACAAAAGCAAAGTATCGCAAAACAAATGGTTACAAAACAGTGCAATGTAACTGTTATGTAACCTTTTTATTACCGACATACATGTCAAAGCTTAAAATTAAAATTTATACTTCAAATCGCCAGGTGGTTGAAACACTTAACACACTAGGGTTTCTTTCATTAACTTAGAACCAGCTTCCTTCCTAAAGAAAACAATACCCCGTGAAAGTACTGCTCAATAGCTTTCACTTGAATGGTCAGACACTAGGGTTTCATCCACAGACTAAAGTTAGAACCACCTTGTACAGCATAATAAACAGTACCACATGAAAGTACGGCTCAATAGCTTTCACTGTAATGGTCACACGCTAGGGTTTCATCCACAGACTTGAAAGTTAGAACCACCTTTTACAGCTTAATAATAAACAGTACCGCATGAAAGTACTGCTCAACAGCTTTCATTTGAGCGGTCACACACCAGGGTTTCATCATCAGACTTCAAAGTTAGAACCACCTTGTACAGCTTAATAAACAGAACCACTGAAAGTACTGCTCAATAGCTTTCATTTGAGTGGTCACACACTAGGGTTTTATCCACAGACTTAAAAGTTAGAACCACCTCGTACAGCTTAATAAACAGAACCACATGAAAGTACTGCTCAATAGCTTTCATTTGAAAGCTCGCAATATGGTTTCGTCCACAGACTTGAAAGTTATAATCATTTTATACAGCGTGATAAACCGTCAGCAGTACCACATGGAAGTATCGCTTAGTAGCTATTGCTAATGGTTTGAAACAAGTTTTACCTTTGGTACAAGGAAAGGTCGATGGTTTACAAACTTGAAAAATAACTTAAATAGGAAGCGTGTTAATTCGGTGGTGAATTAGCAGGTGTGAAAAATATATTCATCAATAATAAATTCACCAAATGAATAATGCCATTGTGAAGAAATGAATCGGTCGAGTTAGTTAACTTCCTATCAAAGAAGTACTGAATTACAAAAAACTTTTAGTCAGCAGTAGCTTTTTTTTTGAAAAGAAAAACCACCTTCGAGTTTACTTAATTTGTCAGGTCCATTCAAGTTTCGGAACAACAAGGGCGGTTTAACACAATTAAATTGAGTTTTTTAACCGGCTGGAGTTTGAAAATGGAAGTATTATTTTTGGCAAGAAAAGAATTCATGATAATAAAGAGAAACTCGCACATGTCAGTGGGTGTTAATTGCGTGAAAACGTTAGTTGACAGTTCACCATTACCAAAAAAGTCAACTAGCTTTCACGAAAAAGGCCATTATGTCGTGCAACTGGGAAACTCAACTTATATCGACCGATCACCAAATTTCCACGCCATGGTTTACAAATCAATGCAAAAATATTGAGTACCACTATTTTATTTTAAACACTCTCAAGAGTCAAAACAACTTTGCTAATGGGGTTTGTCAACTTTTGAATAGACATGAATGAAGTTGAACCGACAACAAAAGAGCAAAAAATAAAAATGCGATGTCAAATTCAAGTCACAAGAACAGTTACGGGTGTTAATTACTTGAAAAACGTAGGTGTCAACACATCGATAGTAAAGAGGAGTATGATTCGAGAGCGTGAGAAAACGATATCGAGATATCTAACTAACGAAAGAAGTAACAATTTCTGGTAATGGTGAATCACGGACATTAATATAGACTATGCTAAAGATGTCGCCTCCCTTTTTTAGAACATACAATGTGCTTTGTTCGAACTCGCTTTGAGACTGCGAACATTGGTTTGTTATTACAAAGGAGAACATAAATCAAATTTTGATATGTGGAAAGGCTAATGTATTACAAAAAAGGATTTATGAGTTTTAACGGAGAAGCAAGCAATATAAGCAATGATACACTGTGTAATATAAGACCTTAAGCTGGCGCAAAAATGACTAGAAAGGCTTGTTCTTCCAATAAACAAATAAACGATTTGTTTTCCTTGTATTTTTCTCAAACCTCGATGACAAACAGGCAGAAAATGTTACATGTCGATATAATGAGCAAAAATAGAATAAGTCTCAACCCAGCGCAGACTTATTTTGACAATAGCGGGAGGAGAGAAAATAGTTTTGTAGCACTTACATTTGTGAAACAAAGCTTTCGAAGAAAAGGCGTTAATTACACGAACACTCGCTCTTGATTCATGAATAATAAATAAAGTAATCGCCAGTTTTGTGAGAAACCAGGAAATGCATTTCGAGTTGCCTAACTGAGCGTAGTTTGGGAATACAACTTAAATTCATTTTGCATTGGTTTTTTCAGTTGAACAATAAGACGCGAGACATATTCGAGAGTTTACCGAGTCCAGAATTGCGTAACACTGCTGATTAATAGCGCTTTGTTGACTAGTAAAAAAGATGTCTTGCAACGAAATAATCACTGTTGAAGCTGGTAAAAAAAATAATCTTGGAACTCTTTGTTATTAGGTGGTGACACAATATTTAATTTGTGACAGCATCTGTCGTCCGAACTCAGTACGTGCCGCGGTTGAGTCAAAGAGTTTTCTTCAGAGGCACCGAAGAAAACAATCTTTTACAGCACTTTTGTCTTGACAAAGAGCCAAAATGCGTAGAGGATTGAAGAACTTTTTTACCTTTCCATGGTTCATCGAGAAAACGGCTAGTTCACCCAAACACGCAAAGTAAGTTATCGATACATCAAAACCAAATCAACTACAAAACACTCAACTTGTTGAAGTGGAAACTGCTTCTTATAAAGTTTTATCCCAGAACTGAATTTCTGAACAAGACTTCACTCAGAGCCAAGATTACCGCCGGAATCCATCGACTTCGCAAACAGTACTATGAGTGCAAGGCCAGAAACTACTGCTAAAGAAACATGTGGAAGCGAAGCAGAGTACGCTAGTCCAGAACACGAATTAAATGGCTGGGGCGCTGAAGTCGAACCAACAGGCGAACCGACAGCCGAGCCGGTTCCAGAGTGGGATACGGCGGTAGAAACTTGGGGCGCTGCTTGGGATATTCATCAATACGGACTCGGCGGGTCGTTTGGTATTGTCGGTGTTTTTGCGCTCGTAGCGCTCCTCGGAATCTGCAAGAACAGCGGGGGTGTACGGCAGAAGAAAGTCTCTGTGGTTGTGCTGAGCCAGATCGTTTTATTTGGTTTATCAAGGTGTTTGTTCTTGTGTGTGGATGCTTACCATTCCAAGGGCCATGTTTCAAGCACCGTGGTGAGTGTAATCTGGGGAATTGGACAGCCTTGTTTGATCACAGCCTTCATGCTCATTTTTCTAGTTTTGAGAAATGCCCTCGTGATGAAAAGCAGATTTCAGAACTGGTACACGACGCGAAACATAGCTCTGGTCACAGTTCCATATTACATCTTCGTCTTCGCTTCGGAAATGATTGTTTCGTTCATTCCGGCATACAGAGCCTTGATCCTGGCCTGCCAGATAATAAACATTATTTTATATCTTACTCTAGCTTCATTCTACAGCTACATCTCTGTTCTCATTTGGAAAACGCTTCAACTTGTACGCAGAGCAGCTTCTAAAGGACAGGAAAGAGGGAAACAGACCTCGGCAATCTTCAAGCGTTGCGTAGCAGCAGCTGTGATCAGTTTCAGCGCCGCCGCCCTACTCGTTTACGCCGCCGTAGGCGTCAACGGCGTTTTTTCGAACGAGCAGTACGTTTCTCCGTGGCCCTGGTTCGCCTTCACTACGTCACTACGCTGTTTGGAGATAGGAATGTCCGTGTTGTTGTACACCGCAAGTATGCACAGTGCCGCTGGACAACAAAATCGCAGGAGGGTGGACGTGGCACCAATGACCGTGATGCAATCAAACCAATAACGCGTAACGCGCAACACGTAACGCGGCACATGGCCAGAACGGTGGCAATATTGTCAATAAGTGAACAACGCACGCGAGATATTGCTGAACATGTAACAAAAAAATTAAATTTTGATGCAGCAAGGAAGTCAATATTACTAGCAATAGTAATCTAACTTGGAAGAATATCTTCATTTCGAAATGTTAAAAACATTTTAATCTTCAACTGCGATCACATTTTATTTTTGAACTGATGTTTTTAAAATTTCTAACCAGCGCGTACCACCTCGTCAAAGGTGGCGTCACATTTTGTCGATAGGGGCGGGAAATCGGGAGCGCGGGGCTTGATGGTACGACGGTGGAACGCGTCGAGAGCAGCAGTCCCACAATTCACATGCTCCACCCTCCAATCAGAGGGGCGCCTGGGGACGAGGCAGGAGAAGTCGGGTNGGTGGGGAGCACACTGTGTCAAAGTGAAGGTACTCAGCAGATTGTCACGTCGTTTTCGCCACCTGCTGTAAGTTGTTTGCTTAAAAAAGGCTTACAAAACGGGGCTACGCCCCTGCATTTTAACGTCAAGATCCTTCAAACAGTTCCTTACAAAGGCAAAGAAAGTTTATTTGCGTTTGACCGCTGTGAACAAAATAATTAAGTTTTATAGCTTTATTTCAACACTTTTTTTTGGCTCAGAGCGTTTTGTATTTTGCACGGCAAATTTAACTCAAAATTGTTTTTTTTTTGTGTGATTCTTTTTCTTGTATTTAAGCATAGTTATAGTAGCTGCTAACTATGGTTTAAGCTGAAATGATGTTAGAAATAGAAGACTCGTACTTTCTGTTCTTTAAAACAAAAATAATTTTGAAATTAGTTTAAGTAAAAAAAGTCTACTCCTTGAACAACAGATTATATCCTTCCATTAGTCAAAAAAGCTCAAACTGATTCCAGTGATAGTTCAAAAAGGTAGGAAAACAGCAAAGAAGTAATAATAACCTAAGATTGGTTAAGTATGGGGAAAGATTGAGCTCCAGAAACAATTTTAGTATTTTACTTGGGTGGTCTTGTATGGGGTCCCCGAGAATTGAATGAGCCTGCGATCACCGAAGTTGTTCGGGAGCACTGGCGCTAGTTTTTGATTGGATAAGGAGAATCGGAGCTCTGTGCCGACCTAAGACAGCACTTGTTTGTTATTTCCCCGACTGAGCAATTAATATTAGTCCTAGATTTAGCCTAAACTTCACCCGTCTTTAGATTTCAGAGTATCTTAGGTTTATGTAATCTTTAGCTTTTACGCTACACCGTAAACTGCCGCGAATGAGCCCTGGGCTTACACAAGGGGCTTATATCCGACGGAGCTTAAAGCCGGAATAAAAAAACGTTTGGAAAAGAGCTATAGCTGCACATGTTGATCGAAATAGGTTTTTCATTTACCGGTTCTTTAATTAAGCTCTAAACATCATAATGAAACGAATTCAAGACAAGGAAAGTTAGAGAGGGGGGCTCTTATTCGGATGTATTTTTGGGCCTATAACCGAAGGGGCTTATAAGCGGAGGGGCTTATAACCGAAGGGGCTTATAAGCGGAGGGGCTATCAGCGGCAGTTTACGGTATTGCAACTGTACTCCTAAACGATCGATAGAAGTCGGAAGGAATACGTGGCCGGAAGAAAAAATAAATTGTTTTGCTGCGAAGTTTTGGACATGCAGGTCATGAAAGAAGAAAGGGAAACTCTGGGACCAAGGGTATTTCGAAAAATGCTAGTTTTATTGACTTTATTCGAAATTATTTTCCAAACTTGGCTCAGAATTGCCCGGATTTCGAGTTTTTCAGACCGTGAGAAGTTTGCTTAAAACGTCGAACGAATGCAGAAAGATCACAAAAGCTTAATAACCGGTCAAGATAACGTGCCAAAAGGGAACAAAAGCAAAGTATCGCAAAACAAATGGTTACAAAACAGTGCAATGTAACTGTTATGTAACCTTTTTATTACCGACATACATGTCAAAGCTTAAAATTAAAATTTATACTTCAAATCGCCAGGTGGTTGAAACACTTAACACACTAGGGTTTCTTTCATTAACTTAGAACCAGCTTCCTTCCTAAAGAAAACAATACCCCGTGAAAGTACTGCTCAATAGCTTTCACTTGAATGGTCAGACACTAGGGTTTCATCCACAGACTAAAGTTAGAACCACCTTGTACAGCATAATAAACAGTACCACATGAAAGTACGGCTCAATAGCTTTCACTGTAATGGTCACACGCTAGGGTTTCATCCACAGACTTGAAAGTTAGAACCACCTTTTACAGCTTAATAATAAACAGTACCGCATGAAAGTACTGCTCAACAGCTTTCATTTGAGCGGTCACACACCAGGGTTTCATCATCAGACTTCAAAGTTAGAACCACCTTGTACAGCTTAATAAACAGAACCACTGAAAGTACTGCTCAATAGCTTTCATTTGAGTGGTCACACACTAGGGTTTTATCCACAGACTTAAAAGTTAGAACCACCTCGTACAGCTTAATAAACAGAACCACATGAAAGTACTGCTCAATAGCTTTCATTTGAAAGCTCGCAATATGGTTTCGTCCACAGACTTGAAAGTTATAATCATTTTATACAGCGTGATAAACCGTCAGCAGTACCACATGGAAGTATCGCTTAGTAGCTATTGCTAATGGTTTGAAACAAGTTTTACCTTTGGTACAAGGAAAGGTCGATGGTTTACAAACTTGAAAAATAACTTAAATAGGAAGCGTGTTAATTCGGTGGTGAATTAGCAGGTGTGAAAAATATATTCATCAATAATAAATTCACCAAATGAATAATGCCATTGTGAAGAAATGAATCGGTCGAGTTAGTTAACTTCCTATCAAAGAAGTACTGAATTACAAAAAACTTTTAGTCAGCAGTAGCTTTTTTTTTGAAAAGAAAAACCACCTTCGAGTTTACTTAATTTGTCAGGTCCATTCAAGTTTCGGAACAACAAGGGCGGTTTAACACAATTAAATTGAGTTTTTTAACCGGCTGGAGTTTGAAAATGGAAGTATTATTTTTGGCAAGAAAAGAATTCATGATAATAAAGAGAAACTCGCACATGTCAGTGGGTGTTAATTGCGTGAAAACGTTAGTTGACAGTTCACCATTACCAAAAAAGTCAACTAGCTTTCACGAAAAAGGCCATTATGTCGTGCAACTGGGAAACTCAACTTATATCGACCGATCACCAAATTTCCACGCCATGGTTTACAAATCAATGCAAAAATATTGAGTACCACTATTTTATTTTAAACACTCTCAAGAGTCAAAACAACTTTGCTAATGGGGTTTGTCAACTTTTGAATAGACATGAATGAAGTTGAACCGACAACAAAAGAGCAAAAAATAAAAATGCGATGTCAAATTCAAGTCACAAGAACAGTTACGGGTGTTAATTACTTGAAAAACGTAGGTGTCAACACATCGATAGTAAAGAGGAGTATGATTCGAGAGCGTGAGAAAACGATATCGAGATATCTAACTAACGAAAGAAGTAACAATTTCTGGTAATGGTGAATCACGGACATTAATATAGACTATGCTAAAGATGTCGCCTCCCTTTTTTAGAACATACAATGTGCTTTGTTCGAACTCGCTTTGAGACTGCGAACATTGGTTTGTTATTACAAAGGAGAACATAAATCAAATTTTGATATGTGGAAAGGCTAATGTATTACAAAAAAGGATTTATGAGTTTTAACGGAGAAGCAAGCAATATAAGCAATGATACACTGTGTAATATAAGACCTTAAGCTGGCGCAAAAATGACTAGAAAGGCTTGTTCTTCCAATAAACAAATAAACGATTTGTTTTCCTTGTATTTTTCTCAAACCTCGATGACAAACAGGCAGAAAATGTTACATGTCGATATAATGAGCAAAAATAGAATAAGTCTCAACCCAGCGCAGACTTATTTTGACAATAGCGGGAGGAGAGAAAATAGTTTTGTAGCACTTACATTTGTGAAACAAAGCTTTCGAAGAAAAGGCGTTAATTACACGAACACTCGCTCTTGATTCATGAATAATAAATAAAGTAATCGCCAGTTTTGTGAGAAACCAGGAAATGCATTTCGAGTTGCCTAACTGAGCGTAGTTTGGGAATACAACTTAAATTCATTTTGCATTGGTTTTTTCAGTTGAACAATAAGACGCGAGACATATTCGAGAGTTTACCGAGTCCAGAATTGCGTAACACTGCTGATTAATAGCGCTTTGTTGACTAGTAAAAAAGATGTCTTGCAACGAAATAATCACTGTTGAAGCTGGTAAAAAAAATAATCTTGGAACTCTTTGTTATTAGGTGGTGACACAATATTTAATTTGTGACAGCATCTGTCGTCCGAACTCAGTACGTGCCGCGGTTGAGTCAAAGAGTTTTCTTCAGAGGCACCGAAGAAAACAATCTTTTACAGCACTTTTGTCTTGACAAAGAGCCAAAATGCGTAGAGGATTGAAGAACTTTTTTACCTTTCCATGGTTCATCGAGAAAACGGCTAGTTCACCCAAACACGCAAAGTAAGTTATCGATACATCAAAACCAAATCAACTACAAAACACTCAACTTGTTGAAGTGGAAACTGCTTCTTATAAAGTTTTATCCCAGAACTGAATTTCTGAACAAGACTTCACTCAGAGCCAAGATTACCGCCGGAATCCATCGACTTCGCAAACAGTACTATGAGTGCAAGGCCAGAAACTACTGCTAAAGAAACATGTGGAAGCGAAGCAGAGTACGCTAGTCCAGAACACGAATTAAATGGCTGGGGCGCTGAAGTCGAACCAACAGGCGAACCGACAGCCGAGCCGGTTCCAGAGTGGGATACGGCGGTAGAAACTTGGGGCGCTGCTTGGGATATTCATCAATACGGACTCGGCGGGTCGTTTGGTATTGTCGGTGTTTTTGCGCTCGTAGCGCTCCTCGGAATCTGCAAGAACAGCGGGGGTGTACGGCAGAAGAAAGTCTCTGTGGTTGTGCTGAGCCAGATCGTTTTATTTGGTTTATCAAGGTGTTTGTTCTTGTGTGTGGATGCTTACCATTCCAAGGGCCATGTTTCAAGCACCGTGGTGAGTGTAATCTGGGGAATTGGACAGCCTTGTTTGATCACAGCCTTCATGCTCATTTTTCTAGTTTTGAGAAATGCCCTCGTGATGAAAAGCAGATTTCAGAACTGGTACACGACGCGAAACATAGCTCTGGTCACAGTTCCATATTACATCTTCGTCTTCGCTTCGGAAATGATTGTTTCGTTCATTCCGGCATACAGAGCCTTGATCCTGGCCTGCCAGATAATAAACATTATTTTATATCTTACTCTAGCTTCATTCTACAGCTACATCTCTGTTCTCATTTGGAAAACGCTTCAACTTGTACGCAGAGCAGCTTCTAAAGGACAGGAAAGAGGGAAACAGACCTCGGCAATCTTCAAGCGTTGCGTAGCAGCAGCTGTGATCAGTTTCAGCGCCGCCGCCCTACTCGTTTACGCCGCCGTAGGCGTCAACGGCGTTTTTTCGAACGAGCAGTACGTTTCTCCGTGGCCCTGGTTCGCCTTCACTACGTCACTACGCTGTTTGGAGATAGGAATGTCCGTGTTGTTGTACACCGCAAGTATGCACAGTGCCGCTGGACAACAAAATCGCAGGAGGGTGGACGTGGCACCAATGACCGTGATGCAATCAAACCAATAACGCGTAACGCGCAACACGTAACGCGGCACATGGCCAGAACGGTGGCAATATTGTCAATAAGTGAACAACGCACGCGAGATATTGCTGAACATGTAACAAAAAAATTAAATTTTGATGCAGCAAGGAAGTCAATATTACTAGCAATAGTAATCTAACTTGGAAGAATATCTTCATTTCGAAATGTTAAAAACATTTTAATCTTCAACTGCGATCACATTTTATTTTTGAACTGATGTTTTTAAAATTTCTAACCAGCGCGTACCACCTCGTCAAAGGTGGCGTCACATTTTGTCGATAGGGGCGGGAAATCGGGAGCGCGGGGCTTGATGGTACGACGGTGGAACGCGTCGAGAGCAGCAGTCCCACAATTCACATGCTCCACCCTCCAATCAGAGGGGCGCCTGGGGACGAGGCAGGAGAAGTCGGGTCACGTGATGGATCTCATCTTCTCAGTCAAGATGTTTTGAACTGAGAATCAGATTCTTCCAACTTGAATGACCCCAAGTTCGTAACAAAAAGTTCTGACAATTTCAGTGGAAATGTTATAATAAGTAATTACAGATACTAATGGCCTACACGTGAAGATACTGCAAGCGCAGTGGCGCGAATAGTTTGAATTTTCAATTGAGCAGCGGTAGTAGAGGGTCAAATTCACGTCACCTGAGTTGGAGCTGTCAATACTCATTTTGAATCCCTTTTAACATATTTTACCAATCGTATTGTTAATCAAGTGTTGTAGCATTTCCTACTTTGCTGTTTGGAATCAAAAGGAAAAAAAAAACACCCAAGGAAATATTCATCTAGTAAACACAGTAACAAGTAAAAAGGGAAGAGAAAACACATTCATACAAAACAAGTCGCTCTTAATTTAAATTTTATTAATACATATCGTTTTTTTTTTTTTACTTTTTGCCTTTGAAGAATGAAAGAAGTTTTCTTATTCTCATACCATAGTGTTTTCCCTTGGTTTTCAATTGTTCCAGGCAAGTCTGTCGGTGGGGTGAGCGGAGGGGGTTAGAATTTTCACTTTGCCAGGTTACTCCATTGGTGTAAAGTCTGGAGGGCATAGCCACAAATTTTACAAACATTCTAACTTTTGGTATAATGTTTAGTCTGTTATAATATTGTGTCAAACCTGTTATGGTATCTGGTTAAACCTGTTACGATATTTTACCAAACCCGTAAAGAGTCTTAAAACCTGTTACCAACACAATACCACAACCCGTTTTCTTTGCAATTACTTGTTTAGAATTTCAGCAGTAGAAGGACTTAATAAAAAGAGAGGCGTCAAGTGATGGACTTGTAACCACGGTAACTAAAACGTTCCCGCCAGGAAAAACTACTGGTTATAACCAAGGGAAACATTACGTTTTGTTAAGCAAAAGCTTTCGTACTCAGGCCCTCAGCAAGGCATTGACCACGGCCTTGACATTCAGACTCTTGAGGTCACTGTAGGTCTGACCTGTGCCCACGAACACAATCGGTTGGCCAGTGGTGTATGTCATGGAAATAGCTGCACCAACCTAACAATAGAGCGAAAAGACTTTTGTATTTCTTAAGCTTGACATAATGATGAATATGAACACGTGAAAGACGAAGAGAATAAAAGAAAATAACTTTGCTCAGTTTCTGTACATTAAAGAGGGGAGGAAAACTTCAAATAAGCCATTTCCGAGTTACAAAACCTTTTAACCGCGGCCTGGTTAGCTCAGTTGGTAGAGCGTCAGTCTGCTGTGCGGAAGGTCGAGGGTTCAAGCCCGAGACCGGACCAACACTCAGGGTCTTAAAATAACCGAGGAGAATGTGCTGCCTTTGTAATTACATCTGCAAATGGTTAGACGTTCAAATGTTCTCTGATAAGGACTATAAACTGTAGGCCCCGTCTCCTGCATCTTCAGTGTTACAAGGTTAGCAGGAGACGTTAAAGAACCCACACACTAATCGAAAAGAGTAGGGTACGTTGTTCCCGGTGTTGTGGTCTGGCCTTATCTCACGGGTTGGTGCTTCACATTGGGTTAACCTCATTGCACCTTCCCCCCTTGGTCAGAATTGCCAAGAAAAATTACCATGACTACCATGACTTTCATGTTTGATTTACACGAAAATGTGGAAATAAACCTGTAGGCGGAACATAGTATGAATGGTTTCGTTCAAAGACTCGTTTTGACCAAGAGTCAAAAGGCAACTCGGAAGTGGCCTATTAATGTATATTTCTTTTCCGATACACACGTTAAAATAATAAAAAGAAGTTGTATCGTACATGTAATTTACCAACTCTTTTTCAAGATCAAGACATTTGTTGATGATCGAGTTATAGACATGGATCAGCGAGCAAAGCAAGGGGAAAATAAATGAATGTGCACGTGTAACACAAATCTGAATGTGTTTAACCTCGGAGAACAATGAGATAAACATCTTAAACAACATACTTTAGGGGCCCATAGTGTTGATGCTCTACAAACATCTTTGCACAAGCAACTTTGGCTTGGGCAAAGACTTAGAACAATTTGGAACAATTTTGCATGTACGCGTAAATACTAATATTGTTCATAAGGACTGGCCACTTAAACTGAAAGAAACAAATATATCAACTAAACATCATAGGATTATGCAACTTACCTTGTCGTCAATGGTATCAAACTTAGTGAGCAGAATGCCGTCAATTAAACGCGGATTTTCAGCCATGGAGAAGTCAGCCAGTGCTTGGTTAAACTTCTTCAGCTGATCCACTGCCTCATTCCCCACCAAGGCCTCCCCGACAAACAGAACCAGGTCAGGAGAATTGAGCTTGATCAGCTGAAAAACAAACCAAACGCAGACATGAAGCATAAAGCGTGCATAGTCAACCAGTATTATTCTTTCCATTTTATTGCTTCGTACTAGGGGAACGAAGCGAACACAGCCGCTTTATCATCGCCCTCAAACCAGCTGGAAGAAATACGAGGTGGCTCAGTTTGCAGGCTTAAGTATTCTAGGTCTGCAGACAGATTTAAACTTTTTGAAAGGAGTTCAGGCAAGACAAACCTACTGGTTATTTGGCGAAGATGTACAACTCAGTTAAATAACTTCCGAATGGAAGAAAATCAAATATACCCAAAAGAAACAGCGAGTGGAAAAGACTGAAATTTAGGCTTCTGGTAAATATTTTTACGACCTAGCATTACTGATCTATATACTGACCCGTACACATGTGAATTCATATCTAAAGTGCATTTTTTTTTTTACCAAACATGGGTTACCGCAAAGGGTTACCGTAAATCCTCGAATTAGCGCTCGGGGCGCTTATTTCAAATTTAGAAGAAGACAGGGGATGCTTATTCGAGGGGCGGCGCTTATTTAATTTTTCCCAAATCGTGGCCTAACATGATAATTTTTTTTAATACATCATCTGCGCGTTAGCAACAACATAAGCTCTTTATCGACGTAAAAAGCTGATCCTAAAGTTTAAATCGCGGCACCGTTAGTACTTAACGTGTTCAACGTGCTCACTTAACGTGTTCACAAACTGAAACANTTTATCGACGTAAAAAGCTGATCCTAAAGTTTAAATCGCGGCACCGTTAGTACTTAACGTGTTCAACGTGCTCACTTAACGTGTTCACAAACTGAAACAATGTACAAACCAATACTACATGACGAAAACTATACAACCTTTGTTGTCTCATTACTCGTCCACAAAATGGGGGGAGGGGAAGGGGCGCGCTTATTCGAGGGGGGGGGGGGGCGCTAATTCGAGGATTTACGGTAACCTGACTTGCTTCAAATCTCGACATTCCCAGATCATCCAAACTTTATCTCCGAGTTCGCCCAAGCTGAACAAACTCTTTACAGTTAGTACACTAATAGGTAGCTAACCTTTGAGAGAGCCCTCATCAGGGGTTCATTATCTTGCATTCGTCCAGCAGTGTCCACCAAGACAACATCAATACGCTGCTCCCTGGCTGAATACCAATTGACAGACAATGAGCTTTTTTTTTTTTTTTACTATATAGCAGTTTACAATTGAGTTTTCCGGGGTCTCATTACGGGCCAGGCACCGAAAAAATTGACTGGTTGTGAGGACAATTTTGCCCGCCTGGTTTGACTATCTAGACGTAAGTTTTTCTTATAAGGGAATCCAGTTCAGAACGTTTAGCCCGACTGTGAAAACCACTTGCCTTCCTGCTGAAACATCAATGAAACCCCTGAGGTGACGTGTTTGTGAAAGCAAAATAATCACTCTGGCCAATCACAAAGGACACAGTCAATCCACTGAACCAATTAAAACTTGAAGCAAACTCATGTAGGTGATGCGAAGCGCGGGAAAACGTGTGCGAGAGAGTCACGATTGGTTTTGGTTTTACTTCTGATTGGATAAGAAAACTAAAGCGATTACTTTTGACATTCAAATGAAAACCACTCTAACTGTCAAACTGCAATGTGTTTAAGGTACCATAGACCGTAAAAGTAAAAAAGGAAGGCCTCATCCTTGGGTGCTTCTCTCCCCTCCCCGCCCCCTCCACCCAACCCTTCCTCCCCCAGCCAAGCCCCCTCCATGCAATTTTGGCCATAAGGTTAGCCTGTGCAGAAAAAGGCAATGTAACAGTTAAGAGTCTTATACTAGAATACAAAAGAATAATCGGACTAGGACTGCAATAGACCACGAGTCCTTCCTCTTTTGCTTCATCCGTCGTGTGTGACGAGAAATAGACTACCAGTAGACCTTCTTTTGCGCGCTTCTCATCCCCAGGATTTCACACGGCCATTATTTTCTTGCAGTTTTCTTTCATGTCGTGCACGGCAGACTAAGCGGCAGAGGGACCACCCGTGGCCTAGCTCTCAATCACTACTGCACCTCTACAACTCATTGAACACAATTTTTTAACAATCAAGCTCACCAAAATTAATGGCATCCATAGCTATGGAGGCAGCATCTTTACCATAGCCCTTCTCGTACAGCAGCACAGATGGAGGCCCGCTCCCACCAGCAGGGGGATGAAGAGCGTTCAGATGACGCACATGGGTCCTCAGCTGTTCCACGGCTCCTGCACGAAAGGTGTCACAGGCTGCAATCATCACACGGAAACCATTGTCAAGCAACCAGAAGCAGATCTGAGAGGATAAAAGGATTTCTATTAAATAATGTCTGAACTGTTGTTCACTGAGGTTGCTTGTTGCTCGACTTTTTGGATGGCATCGAGCAAAACATTAGACTGTTGAACTGTCTCATGTCTACATGTCACCCTGGCTTACTCTTTCATTTCCATAGTGTTATAGGTTTTGTCTTTTTCATGGGACCACTACAAATGAAAGCAACAATTCAGCAGTACTTCCATGTGGTACTACTTATTATGCCGCACAGGGTGGTTCTAGCTTTAAGCCTGTTGATGAAAGCCTAGTGTGTGACCATTCAAATGAAAGCTACTGAGCAGTACTTTTATGTGGTACTCAAGTACTGTTTATTAATGTAACACTGTACAAGGTGGTTCTACATTCGTGTCTGTAGATGAAACCCTAGTGTGTGAAGTTCTTGAGCAGTGCTTTCATGTTGTACTGTTTGCTAGTACGTTTTGCAAAGGAAAGTCTTGATGGAACCCTAGCATGTGGCCACTAATATTATTTAATGAAAGCTATCGAGTGGTGCCGATAGAACTTCTAAATCTGGAGATGAAACCCAGGTGGGTCACCATTCAAGTGGCATTTACATGTTTTGAACTACAGCAAGTTTATATAGTATTGGCAGTTTATCGCTCAGTAAAGATGAATTCTAGCTTTAAACTAAACTTCTGTGGATGAAGTCCTAGTGTGTGGTCATTCAAATAAAAACCATCAAATAGCTCATGTTCTGAACTACAGTGAGTTTATATTGTATTGTTTATCATGCAGTAAAAATGAATTCTATCTTTAAACTAAACTATTGTAGATGAAGTCCTAGTGTGTGTTCATTCAAATAAAAACTATCAAATAGCCACTTTCTTTCAGTGATGTTGTAATTTCTACATTGTTAATTACCTTGGCCAGATTGGTAGATTTTCCAACACCATTAACACCACAGAAGGTGATAGAGTAGGGTTTGCCACGCTTCTTGGCATCCATTGTGTCACGCAGTATATCAATCCTCCTGCGCGGAGACAAAATCTGCACCAAAGACTCTTCCAAGCTAGCTTTCACTGTTGATGTGATACCTTCAACAAACAATGCAACATGATTAACAACATGGTGAATAAAGATAGAAATTAATACAATCTAAACCAAGGTTTCTGTACTGCTGTCTTACCACTGAAGGTCCCTAGCACTTTGCCTTCTAGTTTAGTAGCCACTGAGTCACATAACTTCTCTGAGATGTCGGCTGCAACATTTTTGGCTGTGAAGAAGGAAGCATGGAAGGTAAGGGTTATATATATCATTTTTAAAATGGGTAATTCAGGGGGTTTGTGCATCTTGTTGTATAGTTGCATACATATATACATACAGTACAAACTTTATTTATAAACAGTTAAAGCATCATCAACAATGATTGGTGCCAGGGGTATTCTGAGATTGGCTATTCACACTACAGCCACCCCCCCACCAACCCCCCACACACGACCCCAATGACACGTCCCATGGACATAAGATATACTTTGCCCTCTACCACTGCATTTCATTTTCCAGCAGCCTATTAAATATATTGGCATCCACTACTTATACACACTTGAGCTTAAATAACATTTCTACACAGCATAATAACCACCATTATCACTGTAAGTTAGCTTAGACCTGCCCACTACCCTATATCACTACCTGAATGAAAGCTTATCATTGACTGTCATTTCTGATCACTGAAAATCAAGGACATGGAGTAATTTTGATGGAGCATGGGTCGAAAGAGTACATCATGACAACCAGCACTTCAAACACATTACCAATGAGATGCTCTTTCATCTTGTCCAACACTGGGGTGATGTCATCAAGAGTGAGGGTCTTCTGTCCAGCCAAGCCTTTGAAGAAAGAGAAGAGCCCTCCACCAAGGCCTGAAGACTTGCTACAAAAATCCAAACAAAGCTAAATAAACTACTGGAAAATATATAAAATGGAATGAACTGTACACAGACTTGCTTACAAAAGTTTTGGCAAATATCGAGAGAAATAACTGCAAACAGTCAGTGCCCTTTCTTGCACTATTAGTTGAATATTCCACAAGACAACACTTGTCTATCATGATAGTTACTTTTCTCGCACCTTTGCTTGGCAGCTGAACCATCAGAGCTCAATTCTTCTACATCTTCCTCCTCAGACTCAGAGTCATATTCCATGGGTTTAAGTTCACCTTGCATTGTACCAACAATAGGACGCTACAAATGGATCAAGTTTTGCGTTAATTTTACAAGTGGTGTATTTTCCAGTAAACACTTGTGTCTAGATATAAGAACATATTGCCGGGGTATAAATACCCAGCAGGGGTACTCTCAATAATGGACTATATGGAGAGGCCCTGCCTGAAAGGGGTGCCTTTTTCAGGCTTCAGGTATAGGAAAAGATAGGGATTTCACAAGTGAAGGTATATGAAAGGGTAGGAAAATCTGTCATTTAGGTTTAGTTACCATATTTCAAACAGACGCACATTATGGCTGTATCATTTAATTTATAAAAATGACAATGAATTTTCCTGTTTTGATGAATTATTCATAATAAAGGCCAGTTAAGGTCAGTTTAAGGGGCATTACTCAACTAAAGGTATGCTGTCAAAATGGTGTACAAAAAGGTAATGGGCTGGACTTCAGGGCAGAGCCTCCTGTATAAAACTTTGAAGAGTATCCCCCCCCCCCTTCCAGGGATAAATGTCTCTCATACAGTGTCTTACCAGATTTTCGAGGTCCTCCTCATCATCATCATTTTCATTTGCTTGATTACCATTGGAGCTGCTGTAGTCCAAACTCTTTCCTTCCTGTGCAGTTCCAGCATTGTCCCACCTTCTGGCCTCCTTACCCTTCTTTTTGGCTGATGCAGGGGAACCTTTACTGTGGACAGAAGTACTTCAATCAACAATTATACACTGTATCTCATTTGTGCTTATCAATATCAAGTCTATAATGTTTTGTCCAAAACAGCTCCCCCTCCTATCCCCCACTCAAAAAAAAGCACTGTATTATGTACAACACAATCTTGTTAAAAATCCCTTATAATCACGTTTTTTTCTGTTATCAGACGAAACCAGATGAAGAATAACTACCTTGAGTGAACAAGACTTCTTCATGCTTGTGGGAAAAAAAAAAGACCACTACTTATTTACCAATTCAGGGCTGAGAAGTCCTAACTTTGTAACCTTCAGCCCACCTGGCTTAGTGAAATATCACATTCTACATGCCAACTTTCAACCAGCAGGATTTTTCACTAATGAAATTTTGGTACGGTATTTTTTTGGGCATGGCCTCAATCAAAGTGCTTTCAGAATGACTGGAAGTAGGTGGTTGCTCTCATGCAACACCCATCAGAAAATAATGCAAGAAGCCCACAGCAACATCCTCTGGAGGGACCATTTTTGACAACTGCTAAGTCAACATAGCTGGCAATTCAGAGCACCCCACAAAGCTCCAGTGGACACTGGATCTTATTGAGAGCACTAATCAAAGGTTATTCACTGAAAACTGTAACAAAGTTTACAAACCTGTTTGTTGGAGCCTTCTGTGGTTTTGGGGCAGCTCTCTTCTTCAGTTTTTCAATGTTCATTCTAATCATCTCTTCGCTCATCACACCATTGACTGTGTCTGCTGAGGAAGGTTTGGCATTGGCCGGCTTTGACTCAGCTGTTTTGACTAGAGAAATGACAGTAAGCATGTGCATTGTAATGTTATCTCAGGAGTTGATATGAACTATTCGCAGCTGCTATGGAACTTTTCACATGAAGTAGTGGCAGCCATATTGGTGTTCAACCAAAAAATAAATTTCTCTCCCTTTGGAATACACCACTCATAAAATTCATATGAAACTACATCCAAGACTTGAATGGTGTATTTTTCGTATCCTCATTAGTGATGACATTGATGACATCATTTCCTGCTTTTTCACAGTTGTCTGTGCAAACAGTTAATTTGTCTATACAATAAAAATAAAATTAGAGGCAGGCTTGAAAATACGAATTTATTTTCTCAACTTGAAAGCAATATGTTACTCACTCACTGCACTTGTTTGTAAAATATTGTTTTTACCATGTTAAATAAAATTGATATCTTTGTGCCACAATTTAAAGATGTCCTCTTTTATTATATAAAACTTAGTGGTATACTGAGTGGTAGCAAATTGAGAAATCAATAAAAATGATATCCCACATTATGGGAGGTGTGGTCTGGAAGGCCTGGTGGCCTCATGGTTAGTGCGCTCTTCTCCAAGTCGAGCAGTCCAGGTTCCAGCCCTTGCTGAGGACATTGCGTTGTGTTCTTGGGCAAGACAGTTCTTACTCTCACAGTGACTCTCTCTACCCAGGTGTATAAATGGGTATCGGCGAACTTAATGCTGGAGTTAACCCTGCAATGGACTAGCATCCCATCCAGGAGGGAGCAGAAATACTCCTAGTTGCTTCATACTACATGAACCGGGATAAGCTCCGGCCTGGTGGGCCACTTGGCCTGTATGCCGACTTTCCCTTTTTTACCACATTTGAAGACATCATTTTTGACATCATTTTTGTATCTTTAACTGCACTTAAATTTGTAGGTGTAAGATCGAAATATCTTTGCATCTTCTTCCGTTATGATCGGAAATCTTTGGACATCTTTGGTTATCGTCGGAAATCTTCAAAAACCTTTGGAAATCCTTGGAAATTTTCGGGAAATGTTTGAAAACATTCCTCTGACCTTCAGAAAACCTTAGAAGAAACTTTGAAAATTTCCAGAAAGTAGTTGGAGATCTTCAGAAAATCACCTAGAACATTGTTATAGATTGTGAGAATTTCATATAATAAACAAAAAATTGCAAGGTCACTTGGAGATACAAAATTACTCTTCTCATTTTTCACCACTCAAAGAGAAATTTTGTATCTCCAGGTGGCCATGTACATGTAATATCCTGCTGTATTTAATACCTTCTTCCATTACTTCTGGCTTTTTGTTCTTAGATCCTCCCTTCTTGGAATTTTTAGCACTTTCCTTGTTCTTTTCATTTTTGTCAATCTTGAGAGAAGCCACCGTCTTCTGTGACTTCTTTGATTCTTCAAAGGTTCTCATCCTTGTAGGTGCTTGGGATTCTAATTTGCTTCTCAATTCTGCTTCCTTCAGTAGTCTGTTGAAATCCTCATTGAATTCATAATTTCTCATGACTCCTGCCTCAAGGTCATCTTTGTATTTGTTCCTAAACTCCAGCTGGATATCATTCAGGAGTTTGTCCACGTATGAAAGTTGTAACGTTTTCTGGAACGCAACCTAATTAAGCAAGATAAAATGTTAAAAAACATACAAAATAAAACAAATAAAACAAAGGATAAGTTTAAGGTATCAAGCATTATGTTACAAAACAAAAACAAGACTTTTTAGAAAACATGGATTATGTGTTGGATCATGGGCTCTAAAGGCATGCGCGGTCAAGTGTTGATCAATACCCTTGATATAAACTGAGTTGATACTTGATCGACACCTCAGCTGACACTTGATCAATGGTCAACTAATTTTTTATCGCTGTACTCGAGTCGGTCAACACTAGGCCAACTATCAACTAACTGTTGATCAAGTGTCGATTGGGAGTTGACCAGGTGTTGATCAGGAAGTCGATCTAAGTGTTGATCAAAGTGTCGATCCAGGGTATCAATCAAGGGTATGCTGATACAATGATGGTGCAAGTGATGAGATTTTACATTTTGATAATCAAACTAAACAAAAGATTTTCCACTCTTTTTCTCGCAGTGTTTTCCGAAAGAAATGGAACGCATTTTTTCTATGTTTCTTCCAAGTTATAGAAACACTCAAAAAAGTTTGGGAGAACTTGAAAAAGCTGTGGAACCACCTGCCTGTGTCTTGTGTTTCCACAGCATTTTATTGTTCTCCCAACCTTCCACTTGTGTTGCTATAGCTTGATAGAAACACCAAAAATATTTTCTATTTTTTAATTGATACATAGAAGTTATTAAGCTTATAAAATAAATATTTCTGCGTAAAGTGAACAATAACAACACATTTATTACTTTCCTTCCCTTTGCTTTATATTGCTTGCTGTTCTATATTATACTCGAACCAAATTGTGAGATTGAACGTAGCTAAAACATAGCTAAATTTTATAGCGTAATGAAAATTTACATTTAAGCTTAAGCCTATAAGCACGAAGTATTAAAAATTATTCAAAGAAAACTAACATTTTAAAGCAAGTATTAAGATATTAAGCAACATATTTTATACTTACCACAAACACCAATTCAAATTCGTTGTCAAGTTTATATTTAAGTGTAAGAGAGCCATGAGTAAACGAATTATTTCCCCCGCGCTCCTACATGATGGCAAAAAGAGGAAAGCTTCTTTTAGGACGATAAAATTGATCAAAATAAACTTAATAAAACTACCAAATTGCAACATGTGAAACTTCCTCGCCGGCAAAAATAAAGCTTACCTGTAAAATAACACTGCGAATGAGTTCATTGACTGGAAGCGTAAAGGACTGGCATGTCCCCTGAAAACACCAGAGAACGATGCCCCCTTTAGAAAATATAGTAAAAAGATCTAACATAACGTAACGAATATCTTCAGGTTTCTTTTATATGTGAATCACTCTTGTATCAATTTTTTTATTTGCGCATGTACGGTGAATAACTCCCAAAATGCACCTCGAGTTCAGCCCCTTCCACAACCTCACGCGCGGCTTCCTCGCGGATTTCTCGCAGAGTCCACGCGGATTCCCGTGGAACTGACAAAGGCCTCATCTAGCGTTAATCCGCCTGTTTTGCAGGCTACATCGTAGTTTCGAGATTTGCAAAGTCCATGAGTGTTATAAAACTCCTGTCCACAATCAAATAATGACAGCTATATATTGAATCGTGACTCAAACCAAAACTGAGGTCAGGAAGACTGGAAAGTAAAAGACAAATTTTTCGAAAATTTTTTAAGTTTCTTGCACTGGGTGTACAATTGTTGTTACGAAAACAACCATAGAAGTCATAAAACAAACACATATTTCTGAAGAAATCAATTTTGAAAACAGCTTATGGAATCCCCCGGAGGGACATAAAAAGGACGGGGTTGCTCGCCCTACAAAATCGGGCAGCACGCGTCATAACTTTTTCAAATTACGATCGTCATACTGATGAATTGTTGAGGATGGTCAACTGGGTTAAACTGGACCGTCAACGCCTTGTTAATAAATCAATAATGATGTACAAGATTGTAAATAATATGGTTCCGGAATATCTTTGTTCACGCTTTGTCTTCCGTTCCGATACTTTGACTTATAAGCTAAGAGATAGTGATGGTACGCTTGCTATTCCACAGCCCCACACTAATTACTGTAAAAGAAGTCTTTCTTACAGCGGAGTTGTACTATGGAATAGTCTAGCCTTGAATATTAGACAATCGCTGTCCCTTAATCAATTTAAATCTGAGTTGAAGAACTATGATTTTGACAGTGGTCTTATATAAATTTTATTTTGTTTTTATACACGGCTTCCTTGTAAAGCAGGTTTTTATCATTTCTCTTAT